GTTTCTTTGGTCCGTGCTGCATCCTTCAGGCCGTCGGTTCTGATACTGCCGCTAGTCCGGTCCGCTTCCATGTGGGGCTACCTGATTACCTTCGATAGGCTCGCGTACATAATGTTTACCACGTCTCATTGCTGCGTCCTTATCGGAGACCGTCCGAGTGATTTGTCGGACGTCCCTATGAGCGCCCTCCAACCATCATGGTGGACGGTCACGAGGAGTTCGTTGTTTCCGACATCGTATCTCGCCGAGTTACCGACGATACCCCTCCACGCATCGAGTGCCTTGTGCGTTGGAAGGGTTACCCTGATGAGGAGGCTACTTGGGAGCCCCTCGTGCACTTGCAGCACGCCCGGATGTTGGTTCGTGCATATGATCGTGCTCGTCGTGTGAGACATCTGCTCCTACTCAGTCGACTGACTGTCTTCCTCCTCCTCCGGCTGACAAGATTGCTGAGGACGAGCCCGCTCCGTCTGAGGCCGTTCTTCTGCAGCAGATGGACGCCTCTGCGCGTCCACAGCGCGTTCGTCGACAACCTCGACGTCTCGACGACTGACACTCTAATCACCTACTATCTTCCTACTGACTCACACCTTCAGGTACTCCATCATCAACTTTTTCAAGATGTCGGCGTTTTGCGGCTCTGCTTCGACATCGACTCGACTCCTACTTCATCGACCTCATCGACCACTTTGACGACTTCAGCTACCTTCTCGACTTCAGCCACCTTATCGGCTTCAGCTACTTTGGACGTGATTACTTCACGCCACCACCCTACCCTGTACATTCGCTTGCATCTGTCGCATGATGGTTCTCACTTAGCGAGGTCTCTTTGAGTTGGGCTCTCCTTTGGTATCGCATAGGCATTGGGACCGTAGCGTTATCTTGGCTTCCCTGCTCCCAGATCTAGCTCCCTCCTCCCCCAGTCGGTGAGTTTTGTGCATGTTTCCCTCACCCACTGCCCTCATCACCTGAGTGTCGACTCTTGCATGCCTTCAGTTAAGCATATCTCCACCCTATTCCAAGCTCCTCTTTTCATGGTCGACCCTGCACGGTGTCACCCTTTTGTCGATCATTACCGACCCTTATGATCTATCTGTTAGGGTCATTGGTTTTGTTTCGCTACCACTCTCCCTCACCTTGAGCCTGATGACCTATCCCTCCTTCATGTGTGACTGCCCTTAGGAGTTTCGATTCTTAGGCTGCATTCACCCCCTCTGAGACCATCCCACTCTTAGTGGTTCAACGACATGACATTATCTCGTGATATATTGCTCTTTTTCCTTTCAGCACTGAGGCCATGACCTCCAGGACTTTAGGATTGGATCATGCTACATTTCATTTTCTGTTGTTAATTAGGCTGTGTATACCAGACATTTGCTTTCCAGTTGACATTATGTACCTTAGGCTGCATCGCATGGACTCAATATGGAGCCTGCTCCGCATCCTAGATTTCTCAGCTTTCTTTAGTGCAGAGTTCCGCTACTTTTGCGGATAGCATGTTTATGGCTCTTGCGATCCATTACAGGTCTAAGGATCGTGCAGCGGGCCTCCATCTGCCCTGGCCTACAGCCAGGGCCTATTCGACTATTTGCCAATTTGGCCTGTGGGACCAGGCTGTGGCCTGACCCCACAGGCCGTGTACTATTCCAATCCCGTCCAGTCCTGCCCAGTACCACTGTCGGTACCAGGCCAGTCCAGTCCAGTCCAGTCCAGTCAGTCTGCTGGGGGTATACCCCAACTGTTGTCTGTTTTTTATCATTCTTCACTTTTGCACATCTTGGAGTATGTGCATGTTGAGTCTGCGTCGGAGCTGTGCTGTCCCTTCGAGCTCCATCTCTACCTTCTCCTTCGTCAACCCTTCTTCTCCATCCTGACAGACCGCCATCCCGGCGGGTCCGGCACAGTGGGTCCGCGCTTGTTGGCGTGAAAATTCGAATGGAGGCGCTCACGCTCACCGGAACGACGCGATCCATCTCTGGAGACTACATGTTGAGCACTGAGTTAAGATTTGGGTGACATTGCCGATTGGTTTCTCAAGTTCTCAACGAGATTGGGTTCATTGCATTTGGATCTTGAGTGGCAGGATGTTCTTGGTCTTTCCAATTAATTCTTAGTAATTTCAGCCATAAGCATGTGTGTAGAAGATTTTGAGTTGATGTTTAGTGTTGATGTTCTACGGTCGAATTCAACTGTCTCATGCTTCCTGGTATAACTATCAGTTTTCTTTGAATATCTTGTGGCCTCAATCTTCCTTGCTCTTTCTCTCCTCCCTGTTGCTTCTCTTTTTTGAACTTGGCTTTGGCATGGTGATATAGTCTGTGAGAGCATCTCGAAACTGCTGTCCTTTTGCAGGTTGAGTCACAAAACCATTGTTCTTGATTGTTGTCTTTGCCACAGCCGCCTTCGCTATCCTGATTGCAGTTGCTATCGTTGTTATGATGTCCATTCAGGTTCGTGTGCAAATGGTGCCCAACCTTTGCACCAGGCTGCTTCAATTTCGAGCTTCTCTCTGTATCCAGAGAACTTGGCGGGGTTTTCTGATGCGTAACAGGATTCAGATGCTTGCTGGCCTCAAGAGGATTGCCCATCAAGTGAAGGGTGTGAATGAGCTCAAGTTCACGCGCAAGGCACGCCTACACCTGGCACGATTCCTGCAGCGCCCTCCAATCCCATGCTTTCCTGAGCAACGTTTGCGGTTCTCACTTGATGATCAGCAGACAAGTTACCTGATTGCAGTGGGGAAGGGAGAACACCCACAATTAACGAATGGACCCGAAGAACATCGGGAACACTTCCCAAAGTGGCTGGGTATAACATTTCCAAAAAAGGCTGTAGAAGGCGCAAATTCAGAGGTTGGTGGCAAGAAATCCCGTGGGGGGAGTAAAACCTATAAAGGTGTGATCATGACAGGCAAGCTTGTTGGGATCGTGGAAGGAAATTTTGAACGGCAACTGATAAGACTTCTGGTAAAAGGCACAGGTGGTGTGGAGTTGCCAGATCGTGTTGCAGAGCGAGGAGGAAACTTGCTGCAGTTCCTTAGGGACGGTGTGCAAGTTTACGAATTGGGAATAAAGGACGAGGTGACAAACTCTACAACAGCCAATGACGCATCCCATCATCGTTCCTCAGGCGGTTTCTCCTTACGGACAGGGACAGAGAGAGAGAAAAGTTCCATTTTGTCTCCGAGGAGTGAGAGGAAGACTCTTGTGTTGAAGTTTCAGTCACCAGAAGAGGCCTGGCGAAGAGCCATCCTGCTCTTTCTCCAAACGTGGAGCCCCAAGGTATTTTATCAAATTTGCTGAGCATCAGTTTCAAAACCTTCTGGTCATAAAAATTAGAGACTGAATGGTACACACATGTAACTACGAGTAGACAGCTCATGAGTTCAAATCCTGATGGACTCAGATGAGTATCTGACAAAATCCGATGTGTTCATCCATTGCAATGATTGCATGCAAAATGATGGAATTGTTATGATCCTACTCGATCCATAATGCAAAACTCAAATGTGGGAAAATGCAAGACTTGCTGAACTTCAAAGTAGAGGTGGAGAGGGAGAAAGAACAGAATATGATGAAGAGCACGATGTTACATGCTGCGCGTGCACACGCGGGCCATTTTCCAGGCCCTGCGTCCTTCAGGCCAAAAGCCTGAATTTCAGGCCGAAAGCCTGAAATCCAGGGCTTACAGGCCCCATGTCGGATCAGGCCGAAAGCCTGAATTCCAGGGCCACAGCCCCTATGTCGTTTCAGACTAAAAACGGCATCAGCCTTTTTAGCCTGAAACTAAGGGCCATTCTCGGTCGTTCATCAGAACGACCGGCCCTGAAACTCAGGCACCGAACCAGGGTTTTTGAACAGGCTATTCTTAGCCTGTTCCCCACGCCAGCCTCAGCAGGCTGCTGCACGCCAGCCCCTGGCACACTTCGGCATTGGCAAGAGCTGCCTCCTCGGCCTGGCTCGCCCTTCAGCAGTCAGGAGGCAGGCCGAGGTAGTACATAGGACTTCCCAGGCACTTCCCAGGCAGGCAGTCAGCAGTTGTAGTCTTCAGGATTCGGGAGCAGCACTGTGGAGGGAGCGCTGTAGAGTAGTAGTAGCGTTAGCTTGTAGTCTTCAGCGCTGGGCGCAGTAGGTAGCTGTAGTCTCCAGCGCTGGGCGCCATAGCTAGATAGTAGTAGAGAGAGAAAGAGAGATTGGGCGGAGGCCAGAGGTACTTACCTGCAACGCCGTTGCTCCAGCTTCGTCTTCGAGGTACCTGCAGCACAGCGCCAATATCACAGGTCAGAATCTGGCTCCTAACAGAGAGAGAGAGAGAGTTCTTCTTCTTCCTCTTCTCAGTCCACCATCTYCTTCTCCCCCTCTCAACATCTGACTTCACTGCATCTGCAGACTACGAGAGAAGAGAGACAGAGCTTGGTGGAATCGAATCCAGACTCGACTTTTGGGGCTTCAGACATGGCAACGAGGGATTATTTGGGATTGGTGACAAAGACTCAGTGTTGACGACATTCCCATCTCTCTCCCTCCTTTCGTCTGATCCCTTCCTCTTCGTCTGTGTATGTCTGGACCTGGCGCTTTCTTCCTGTGTACAGCGCCAGGCTCCTCCATACCTGGTGATGGATACGATGCATGTTTGGTCTGAGTTCAAACATTGATTGGGCTAGTTATCAGCATTCTAGCATTCTGCTTCGCTACTTGTACTACGTGAATGAGGTCAATCCCGGTCAGGTCAGTCTTTGTATTTCAGTCTTCCCTGCGCTATTCACCACCATTATGTATGTATGAGAATGCACATTGCTTGTCGAGATTCTAATCGCACCGCATTGTCCATTCAGTCCTTTTCATCACATTGCAGATCCTCGGTTATTACGTACATCACGTAACTGTGCATGTAACAGTTGGTATCAGAGCATCGCACGTGAATCAGGACAACCTGATCTGACACGTGTGCGGGGACTAATTAGCTGATTAGTCTTTAGTGATTGATTAGAGCGTTAGTGACCGAGATGTCTGATTCACAAGTGGGTTGTGGAAGAAGACTGCAGAACAGATGGGCAGTCAACTTCAAATGACTTCAGGGAATCATCCCGAAGCCAACGGACAAACCGAACAAATGAACAGAGTTGTACAACACTTGTTGAGGCATTACATTAAGCCCAGCCAAGATGATTGGGATGAGCAGTTGCCTCTCATCGCCAGCCTGTACAACAATGCTATCCATAGCAGTACCGACGTTAGTCCTAATCAGCTGCACTTGGGATGGAAGCCTAGATCAGCACTAGACTTCCTCCTACCTGAAAACCGACCCGCTGCAACTCCCGGCACGCTTGAGTATGGTGTGCAGTATGAGAAGTTGCTGCGAGAGGCTGTCGAGCAAATGAAGAAAGCTCAGCAAGCAATGATTGCTTCTGAGAATCAACATCGTAGACAGTCCACATTTCAGGTAGGGGAACGTGTCTGGGTCAAGGCTAGTGAGTTAGGACAGGARTTCGGAATCTCTCGCAAACTAATGCCTYAGTACTTTGGTCCCTGGGAAGTCYTAGATATAGTGGGAGATGAGATGGATGGTCCCACATATGTCATTCGTGTCCCTGGACACCTACGCACTCACCCAGTCTTTCATGCCTCAAAGCTTGCACCTTTCGCTGAGACAGACCAATTCCCTTCCAGGAGATCGATGCTGTCCCCAACCATGGATGGACAAGTGGACATCGACGACATTGTGGATCACAGGGATATGCGTGTTCCGAAGCCGCTGGGTCGAGGAAGACCTCATAAACCCAAGAGAGAGTACCGCGTCAGATTCAGGCATCATACGGATCCAAAAGAAGATCGGTGGTTTACCAGGGAGGAACTGATTGAGACAGCTCCTCAGGTGGTGGCAGGATATGAGAGGCTACTGAAAGGGAAGGCAYCTGCGAAGTAAGCATCTCAGCGGACTTTCGAAGCTAAGGGGGATGGAATGTGAGGATTGAGCCCTCAAGTAGGGGCCTTGCCATGATGTACATGTTCTGGGCTAAGGCCCCAGCAAGCCTAGTGCCCGCCCTAAGTGAAGGCGGGCCAACAAATCAACAAGAGCCCTCTGTGCCAACATTTCACGAAGTGGGGTCCATACAGTTGCAGCACGCCAGTTGGTTGGAGTGCACCGAGTCTCGGATTTCAGCAAATGCTGAAAACCCAGGGCCTCTGAGTTAGTTAGGCTCTGGGTACTTGAACGTGAGGCCGACAATGCATGCTGGGTATAGAGGCCGAAAATGCCAAAGGGAAATCGGCCCACTATCTGAATCTGGCCGCAGGCCTTGACGAAAGAGGTGCAACCGCATCCCCTGGGCCTCAACTGTATCGGGCTGAGTTCAGCCTCTGGGGCCCGGTCGCAGGCTGAAGGGAGGCCGCCCACATGCTGCACTGGCATATAGGCAAGCAGGGCGAGTGGGCAAGTATCTTGGCCATTGCGGGCAATGCCGGCACGCTGCGCTAATGCGAGCTGCTGGCTGCTGCGCTGCGCCAAGACAGAGTGCAAGGCAGGCATGCGCTAGGCGGTAGGGCGCTGCCTGTGCACTGGGCGCTTGGCGGCCATAGCCGGGCTGCAGAGGGCGCAGGGGAGGTGAGGGCGAAGGTGGTTCTTCGGAGGTGAAGGGCGCTGTGTGGGTAACAAGGGAGAGTGTGGGTGAAGAGGACACGTACCTGGTGGAGGTGGAGGTCGGCATTGGTGTTGACATCATCACTCGCTNCTGTAGTTGTAGGCTAGGCTGTAGAGTAGATAGGGCGCCTGGCGCCATTCACAAGAGAGAGCTACATTGGGTTATGCTGTTGGTGTTGCCCTGTTGGGCTTGGACATTGACTCACGATTCTTCTGTATCATTCTCAAATGGATGGTTACTCGGCTCCATTGTGCTATCTGCTTTGGCTTTGACTACATGGACTTCAGTGTGATTTTGCAATCTGGATTTCTGTGCTTCGTCCATATTCATGTTCCTTGCATAAAATAATAATATAATAATAATAATAATAAAATTAAAAAAAACATATATATATAATAAAATAAACTTAAAAGAAACAAAAAATATATATATTATATATATATATATACAGGGTCACCAGCCCGTACGTACGGAGGTCCCCGGGCAGATCTCCGTATGTACGGGCATTCGGGGTCCCATACGGGGTCCGAACCCGACGGCGTTCGGCCCTCGCCAAAAATTATTTCGGGGCCTAAACATAATTATTTTTTTCTGAATTGTTTTTTGTAAGTTTTCTATGACGTGAGGTACATGCCTGTAAACTTTCAAGTCATTTGGCGAAGCAAAATAAGAATTAAAAATCGCCAAAGATGGCGGTGTCAAAACGTGCTCGCCCACGTATTTTTTCACTTTTTACTTTTTGTTTTCACTTTAGTTCGGGGTCTAAACAATTTTATTATTTTTTGAAACTTTTTTAGTGGGTTTTGTATTATGTGAAGTACACATTGTTAAATTTTCAGGGCATTTAGTTATGCCCAAAAAAAATGAAAAATCGCCAAAGATGGCGGTGTCRAAAACATGCTCGCACACTCACTAAACTTAATTCTCTTTTTATTTTTATTTATTTTTATTATTAGTATTTTCTTTCCGTATTTTATTTTTATTTCAAATTTGGTAAGGAATTCGGATGTAGTGCTCAGGCAAATCTTGTTTAATTTATTTTTCTCCATAACATATCTTTTTTTCAGATTTTTTTGATGACTTTGTTTTTTTTTTTGTTTTTTTTTTTCTTTTGGGTCCGCGCTCGGCCCGAACGGCCGAACGCATCCCCAAGGGATCCCATACGCTCGGGCGTTCGGGTTCGGGCGTTCGGCCCGTCCCGAACGCCGGTTACCCTGTATATATATGTATATATATATGTATACTTACAATAATACGATAAATAATTAAAATTAATGACTAGTAAAACAATAATAAATAATACTAATGGCATATAAAGATATATTCCCTACCAATAAATAAACATAATACTCATAATCACTATAAATTAAACAAGAAAAGCATACCCCCCGCTATACCCCACTACCGCCTTCGCAAATACAAACCCCCAACACAAAAATAGAACATCACACCCCAAATCCTCGCAACACAAACAACAAGCTACACACCTATACACCATATAGACAACACCTCACGTACCGGTTATGGGATATGACCCCTCGCAAAACGCATTCGAAAAAAAGAAAAACAAAACGCACTCACACACGAAAAAACGCCCAAAACGTTTTACAAAAGAGACACTAAGGTAACATACGAAATGACGTCCACTCAGCACCTCATCGAAACGACTCATCTAACAAATCGCAGTACAAACGTGCACGCAAACACAACAGACAAACCCCGACACTCCCTGCCTCCTCCAGAGCCAAACCATCTCCAAAAAAACGACGAACTGATACACACCGAGACCCAGATGACCGACGCCACCACTGCCATACCGGCGCAAGCTGGCAATCTCACTACCCCCCTCCCTAGACAGGAACGAAAAATACACGCACCATCGTTAAAAGAGCGCCTATCCCATATACGAAAATCAGCAACCATACACCTCGCCCCAAACTAAGCTATACTTGAATACCCCCCACCCAAAAAAACTTGCGCAATTCCCCCCTTGAACAAAGCCATCTCGGTCGCCCCCACCCTATACCATCCTAGCTACATCAAAGCATGGCGCACACTGTATTAAAACACATGACACATACTCATGGCGTGCACGCCTCACCTCGCAAGAATTGTCTTCGGAAACGCTAGCATGCAGACTACCTTGTGCAATACCACGCACATACATGCTTGCTTGGAAGCTGACCTCCAAGCGCTCTTGTTGCGTCTCTTCTCCCACGCCTTCCTTACACTGGCACGCAACCTTGCTAACTGTTCTTCCTCCTGAGTCTGGTGTGGCACATTGCAGTGCCCTTCGCGCTGAGCTTGCGCTGCAGGCTACGTAACATCACGCTGCTCGGCCACGAAACGAGCTATGGCGGCGACTGATCTTCCAGCGACACCAACCATGACCCCTCAAGTATGGAAATGTAATGCCTTCTTCCACCTACAACCCCCTGACGACCTTTATCCCCCCAACCCTATGCTAACAGGAGCCTTAACAAAGCTAATCCCTTTGATGGGCTGCTATGGGTGCTAGGCGGCGAAAAGCGCGCTTAAGGGCGTGCACCCCCCTTACGGCTGGGCTTTGCCCTTTCCTAATTTCTAACACTCTAACATTAACAACCTAATCATAGCTCCTGCAATAACCTAGACCCCCACCTTCACACTCTGTCCACCTTTGCAACATACGTCCTCCATAGCTGAATTGCTATCTAACACCCTACTAATGGACGATCTTGAGTTGAGTCCAGTTTCCCACATTCTGTGGGATAGCTATGTTACGTACATAAAACCCCCCGCACACACACACACACACACACACACACACACACAC